TTTCAAAAGCAAGAAACCTTACACCTGAAAAGCCCGCAACCCTAAAGCCCTAAACCCCTAAACTGTAGAACCTAAACCGTCAAGCCCTCTCTCAATGCCCAGCTGCTTCGGGTGCAGGCCGCACCCCCCAATGTAGCCTTGTGGTCACGCGGCTTTGAGGGGCTCGCGGGCTCTAGGTGCTTTAGAGGCTCTGGGGCTTAGGTTTATATAGGGTTTAGGGTTTGCGGCTTATAGGGCTTAAAGTCCTGAAGCTGTAAGCCCAAAGTCTGCCAAGGTCTCCATAAAAAGTCTATAAAGCAATTGGGTAGCTCACATGCTAAACATCTACTAAAGGGGCCTGAATAATTAGAATGGGGTTTTGGGGGTGATTCTAGTACAAAAAGACAGGCACCCTGAGGGAATATGATTAGTAAGTATTCCGACCCCTGTTTCAGGGCTTGTAGGTGGAGAGACTGGCTTGCGGAGCGAAACTGGCTCATGTGGCAAGGGCTTGGGCCAGCAGGTTCAACCTCCATATGCCCCTATAGACCCTACATAGGGTTTGGGGTTTAGGGTTTAGGTTTCGGGTTGAGGGTTTAGGGTTTTAGGGTTTTGGGTTTTGGGTTTAGCCAGGCCTAAACGTCAACCATCAGTCCGGGGATGTCTTGAAGTTGTTTTGTTTTTATTTCAAGGGTCTAGGGGGGTTAACAGTAGGGGTCACGAAATAAGCGGGGCGACTAACTTGGTAGCTGGTTATCACTCCATTGTTGGGGGTACTTCTATCCCCAGCTACGAATAGCTGCCGTAAACCCTAGACCCTAAACTGATGAAACTCCAGGGACATGTGCGGCCCTAACTGGGTTACCGAGGTCCTCCTCGCGGTTAGACGCTATCAGCCCGCGGGAGCCCAGAACCCTTGGATACGCTTCGGCTTAGGGTTTAAGATTTTCAAGGGCTTAGGGTTTAGGGAGTTTAGGGTTTAGGGTGTATAGGGTTTAGGGTTTAGGGTGTATAGGGTTTAGGGTTCAGGGTTTTGGGGTGTAAGGCTTCAAGCAAGGGGCAGAAAGCAGAGGTCGATGCCAAGGAAGAACCACGAAGACGCGAAAACTGGCCACACCAGCCTCCCATTCGGCTAGGGCTCAGGCCTTTGGGTTTTTAGGGTTTAGGGTTTAGGATTCGGCAAACCCCTCAACCCTAGACCCTCAACCCTCAACCCTTAACTGCTGTGTATCTTGGCGGAACCGCGACACCTATTACCCTATCCCCTAAACCGCGTTGTGCGTTTGTTGTTGGGGAAGGTGAGAAAGCCATCAACCACCTACCCTAAACCCTAAACCGCCTAAACCGCCTAAACCCTAAACCCTAAATAAACCCTAAACCCTGAAGCCTATACTGCAAAAAACACAACCCCTCCGGCGTGAGACTGGCCAGAGACTGCGGTGACATATTCTTACTGATTCAAGGAGAGCTTAAACCTGTCTCAGTGCGCAAGATATGAACCACATACTCTAGGCTGTTCTCTTTGCAAGGGTTTGGGGCTACAGGAATTTTGGCTTTTGACGGGGTACCTGGGGATTGCAAGTCGTTACCCTTGACATCCTCAACTCTATAATCCTCAACCCAACACCTTGTAGCCTGAAATCTAGCAGACCACACCCTGAATTCAGACGAAGTTCCCAAGCGCGCTAGGCCAACTCGACCAAAGAACCAACAGGGCAGCATCAGAAACCCAAAGCGAAACCCTCCCCAAGCCCTAAACCTCAAAGGCTCAACCCCAAAACCTCAAAGTCTCAACCCTAAACTCCCTAAACCCCCAACCCCTGAAACCTCAAAGCCAGTACGGGTTTAGGGTTTAGGGTTTGGGGTTTGGGGTTTGGGGCTTAGGGCTTAGGGGTTTAGGGTTTAGGGTTTAGGGTTTACGGTTCAGTTCAAGCGGCTGGTCCCAAAGGCAGTAGATGACGCCCTGGATCGGAAGCTTGGCAAAAACGTGGCCATGGCTTTCCCAGGTCCGCGCCCTGGGGTGGTTTGAGGTGGCTTTGGGGGCTTCTGCCAGGGTAGTGCTCAGAGCTTCTATATATGGGTAGCTCTCTACATTTGATTCCCTGGTAGGGTCCTGAGTTCTATTTAGGGGATCCCAAAAATTAAAAGACCCTAATTTAGAGAACTACCCATTTAGCCTTTCAGGTTTGGGGTTCAGGGTTCAGTTCGGGTTTAGGGCTCTAAAACCCTTTAGGGTTTAGGGTTTAGGGTTAAGGGTTTAGGGTTTAGGACCCCAGAGGATGGCCACAGGAAGGTGCTACAGTGCTACAGTAGGGACTGAAGCCCTACCGGGAGCTTCCTCCCTACTTGTGGGAAGGGCTCTGAGTACCCTAGAAAAGGTTCTAGCCAACTATCTGGGCTGATAACCCCCTGCTTCTAACCCTTTTAAGTACCCATGAACTTCCAAGCATTGGTCCAGCCATGGCGCGCTTAGGGCGTAGGGCTTGAGGTGGAGAATTTCGGGCTATTCGGAGGATCACTTGTGACCCTACTTCTAAGTACACATGAGCCACAAAGTACGTAGGGGGGTAGGTCTCAGGACCCTACTTCTAAGTACCCATGAACCACAAAGTAGGTAGGGGGTAGGTCTTAGGGCTCAGGGGCATAGGGCCACAGCCCTAAACCCTAAACCCTAAACCCTAAACCCCCAACAGGGCATAGGGTCTTATGCCCCAGGCCTTGCAGAAGGGACCAGGCTTTAGGGCCGGGGCATCCAAGGGACTGAGCGGGCGGGTTTAGGGTTTAGGGTTTAGGGTTTAGGGCTTAGGGTTTAGGGTTTAGAGTTTAGGGTTTAGGGTTTAGGGTTTAGGGTTTAGGGTTTAGGGTTTAGGGTTTAGGGTTTAGGGTTTAGGGTTCAGGTAGTAGAGGGGCCTTAATACTTCGCATAGGGTTTAACGGTTTCGGGGGTTCTTCTGGTATATTTATAAAGGGAAGGGAATACTACTAGTGATTTTTCTGATCCCCTATAGTTGGTGCCAGAGGGCAGCGCCATCAATATGTCCACATCCAGCACGTTGGGCAACAGCAGCACCTTCACGTCCACGTCGTAGACGTTGTCCTGGCGAATGCCGCCGGCCTCGGTCCATTCACGGAATTTTAGGGGCCCCAAGCCCCCTACCCTAAACCCTAAACCCTAAACCCCAAAACCCTAAACCCTAAACCCCAAACCCCAAACCCTAAACAGGACTATGGGTTGACAACCCAAACGGTCAACCCTACAGCCCAACCCCTGAGGCATAAACCCTCAGTTGAACTCCTGACATGCATACGTAAACCCGAAGCCCTCAGCCCCAATCACACCCTAAACCCAAAACTTCCCCTAACCCCTAATGCCCCAAACCCTAAGCCCTAAACCCTAATCGCAGCTTTAAGCTCTGACTCTGACCCACTTAGGCTGGACGCAGGCAACCCTCAGTTCTCCGCAGCTTTGCCTCCACGTCCCTGAGGCTCAGTGTAAGCGCAACTATCTCAAAGAAACCCAAACAAAACGACCCTAAACCCATATAACCCGAAGATCTTAGGGTAGTTACATGGTCCCTTAGTATGGGCCCGGGGACCCCCTTTATATACCCTACATAACCCAAGGCCCACTTTTTGAAGAAGGTAAGGGACGATGTTAAGGGCCCATCTCAGATAAGATCAAGGGACTTAAGGAGGGACCAGGGACCTTAGAGGTTGTTCAGGGGTTATCTGGGGGGCTACTTGGGGTATTTAGGGACTACAACCCTAAACCCTAAACCCTAAACCCCAACCCTTACACCCTAAACCCTAAGGTATATATAGGAGTTTAATTTAGGGAACAAGATGAAGGGTCCCTTTCTAGGAGTCCCTCCCTTTACCCCTTGGATTAGAAACACGTCTTTGCACCCTCAGCTCCCTTGTTACCCCTTTTTCGAGGGTTTAGGGTTTAGGGTTTAGGGTTTAGGGTTTAGGGTTAGGGAAAGAAGGCTGAGGCTGCAGCAATCTTCGGAATGAAGCACTTGTGCCAGGCCCTCGGGTAGCTGGAAGAAGTCACACAGGGGCCCTAAGAATTATTTCACAAGAGGTTAAGGTTTAGGGTTTGGTTTTGGGGGCTATTATGACATAACTATATATATATGTATATATATATATGCCCTAGGGGGGGGTAGTATTCATAATTTCCCGACCCCTAGATGAACCAGATAAAATAGCATCCCAAGGAACCCTCCTCAACCCTCAGCCACACCTGTGAACCCTCCACTTTGAAAACCCTAAACTCTAAACCCTACATCCTGAACTCTAAGCCCTAACCCTAAACCCTAAACCCTAAGCCCTAAACACTAAACCCTACGCTCTTAATCCTTCACCCTGGGCCTTGCCAGCCCTGAACCCTAGGCCCTAAGCAGTCTCCCTCGACCTCCTGAGCACAGACCCCTGAAGCACCTCTGCGTGTGGCCTAGTGCCAGGCTCCGTGCAACCATGAAATGCACTAGGCTCGCTTGGTATGTAGGGTTCGGGGACTCAGGGGGTTTAGGGTTTCGGGTGCAGGCACAGGGTTTTAGAGTTTCAGGGGAGAGAAAGATGGTCTTTGACCATGAAAGGCTCAATGGACGTCATGTTCATGTAGAGGTTAAGCCCTAAACCCTAAAGCCTAAGCCCTAAACCCTGAACCCTAAACCAAGAGGTTTTGCCCCCTCAGAAAATTCTTGGCTCCAGATCTCAAGAACGTGGGGTGCCGATTTTTGGGGGGCCTGCAAACACACCTGCACCCCCCAACTACCCTGTAATAAAGGGGACTTCTCTACCCCCCTAAACCCTAAACCCTAAACCCTAAACCCTAAACCCTAAACCCCAAACCCTGCTATGGCTAAAGGCGCTAAAGGGTAGTTGGGGGGTGCTGGCAGGGACGGGACTTAGAGCCCAGGTGCTGCTGGTGTATTGAATCGACCTCCTAAACCCTAATCCCTAAACCCTAAACCCTAAACCCTAAACCCTAAACCCTAAACCCTAAACCCTAAACCCTAAACCCTAAACCCGAACCCTGAGTTAGAGCCAAGGTGCTGCTGGTGTATTGAATCGACCTCTGCGTTGTGCTCCCATCTGGGCCAGGTCAGCCCACGCCGTTTGGCCGTGTCTGCCTGGTACGCGCAGCGCACGGGGCCAGTCAGCCAAGTACCTCAGGGTCTGAAGGGTAAACCCTAAACCCTAAGCCCTAAACCCTACTAAACCCTAAACCCTAAACCCTAAACCCTAAACCCTAAACCCTGCACTCTAATCTAAAAACCCTAAACCTCAAACCTCAGCTTTGAGCCGTGTTTCGGGCTGGCAAGGGATGTCTCGCGGCATCCTGGATGATCGGCTGCACACCTCAGGGCTTGGGACTTTGTGGGGCGGTGCTGTTCCGGAACCGAAACCCTCAACCCTAAACCCTGAACCCTAAACCCTAGACCCTAGACCCTAAACCCAAAAAACCCTAAACCCAAAAGACCCCAAACCCAAAAAGCCCTAAACCCAAAAAAACCCTAAACCCTATAAACCCTACACCCCTGAGGAATCGCCGTGAGGTGTCGGATTTCAGGCTCTGGGCTTTGAATTTGGCTTAAGGCCCCATCACCAAGAGCCCGGGCCTAGCCTGACCTGTGACACCCAACAAGCCCCGAACTCCAACAAAGCGCCCCTGAATCACCCTAAACCCCAAACATCCCTAACCGGTAAACCCTAAACATCCCGAAGCCCTAAACCCTGAATAACCCTAAGCCTTTAGCTCCAAAAGCCTCTAAGTTTGGGACCCCCCTAAGGGTCCATGTACCTCACTATGACGTACTTGGCCCCCATCCCTAAATAGGAGGCACTTTTAGGCCCAAACCCTAAACCCTAAACGTAAACTCTAAACCCTTTAGGCGGACTTGAATCCACCACGCCCCCCCCCCCCCCCAAACCAAAGACCAGCTGAGGCGCAGAGAGCATCCAGTATGTCTGCGCCGGCAAAGGGCACCACGTAGAGGAGAGCTGCAGGCAGGAAACAAGACTTAGAGTTTAGGGTTTAGGGCTTATCGGGATTAGGGACTTGGGGTTTAGGAGGTTGAGGGTTTAGGGGTTATAGGGCTTAGGGACTTGGGGTTTCGGAGGTTGAGGGTTCAGGGTTCGGGATTTTGGGGCTTCAAGGGGATTGAGGCGGCCTGTCACCTAGGAAGGACGCGCCTGCAATCTTGTCCACAGCACCGCTGATTTGTGCCTCCTTGATGCGAGCAGCTCTACCGCAACTTGAGCGACGTTTTTTTTGACGAAAAATCCCTGTACCCCTGGAAGCTGAGACCCTAAACCCTGAACCCTGAACCCTGAACCCTAAACCCTAAACCCTAAACCCTAGATGGATGGCGCCCCCCCCCCGCCCCCCCAGTTGCATGGTTCTGGGACTTGAGGTTCGAGGGTTTAGGGTATTTAGGGTTCAGGGCTTCTGTCTTGGCAAGGGGCTGCTAAACGTTGGGAGCGACGTTTTGCAAGCTTACGATCTAAGGGTAGTTTCATGGGCCCTTAATGCGTTCCCTTACCTTCGTTAAAGGGTTCTGAAGTATGGGCCACTGGGTTTTACGGCATATATAAAGAGGGGTCCCTTTTAAGAGCACATAGCACACACACCAAGCGAACATGTAACTACCCTAAGATACGAGGCTTAACAAGGCTGTTGGAACCCCAAGCCCTCGAGCCCCAGATGCTACATCCTACAGGGCGTTACCTCCAGACGACTACGGTTTAGGGTTTATAGGGTTATAGGGTTATAGGGTTATAAGGTTATAGGGTTTATAGGGTTATAGGGTTATAGGGTTTTACGGTTATAGGGTTTAGGGTTTTAGGGTTTAGGGTTTTAGGGTTTAACTATTAGCCCGCGTATGACTGCAGATCCAACCCGCTTAGAAGCTCCTTAGGTACCCTAATGTGGTTGTTGGGTGGAGGGACCCTAAACCCTAAACCCCAAACCCCAAACCCCAAAACCCTAAACCCTAAACCCTAAACCCTAAACCCTAAACCCAGATGGCGTCCTTGACGATCATGTCCATGAGCCCCTGATCTGTTTTGGCCCGCTCGACGAGATCTCGCGTGAAGTTCTCTGCCACCTTCAAATTGCCTCAGTTCGTGAAAGGGTTTAGGGTTTAGGGTTTAGGGTTTAGGGTTTAGGGTTTAGGGTTTAGGGTTTAGGGTTTAGGGTTTAGGGTTTAGGGTTTAGGGTTTAGGGTTTAGGGTTTAGGGTTTAGGGTTTAGGGTTTAGGGTTTAGGGTTTTGGGTCTAGGATTTAGGGTTGAGGGCTTAAGGGCAACCCCCCTTCCGCGCATCCAAGACCTATAAGGTATACGTAGGATTTCGCTGGTTTTTTCCCGACGGGGGGGGGGGGGGGGGGGGGGTGGGCAACGCCTTTGGAGGTTTTGGGGTTTCTGTGAGTCCAGGGCATAGAGAGGGTTATGGGTTTAGGGCCTGCTCCCGGCTGCAAACACAAGTTTTCAAAATTGGGTTTCCTTTTGGGGGCTCCTAAAACACAACGAGGTGCCAAAGTCCAACAAAACCCGAAACCCGAAACCCAACACCCGAAACAATTAACCCGAAACCCAAAACCCGAAACCCGAAACCCGAAACGCGAAACCCTAAACCCTAAACCCTAAACCCTAAACCCTAAACCCTAAACCCTAAACCCTACTTTCAACCTCAGGTCTGGGTCTTCTGTGGGAAAGGGTTGCTGACCAACCAGTCGCCCTCAGGCCGGTGGCCTGGATGTGGAACCCGGGGTTTAGGGTTTAGGGTTTAGGGTTTAGGGGTTAGCGGTTAGGGGTTAGGGGTTTGGGGTTCGAAGAGGGTTTTAGGGCTTAGGGTCAGAGAAGCCCCGAAACCCTGAAGCCGGAAACCCTGCAGCCCTCTCCGGGGACGCGAGGCCTGAGCCCCAAAGTTGAAAACCCCCTCAACCCTAAACCCTAAGGGCTGGTTTAGGGTTTAGGGTTTAGGGTTTAGGGTTTAGGGTTTAGGGTTTAGGGTTTAGGGTTTAGGGTTTAGGGTTTAGGGTTTAGGGTTTAGGGTAGGTGGGGAGGAAGAGGGGGGGTCCTAGGGGGTGGATAGTATCGTGTGCCGCCCGGACACAGCGGGAGAGCAAAAGGATATCGGAAAAAGCACGTGGCGTGTCCAGTTCCGTGGACCTCAGCACTTGGCTGACAGCGTTTAAGAGTTTAGGGGTTATTAGGGCTAGGGTTTAGGGTTTAGGATGTAGGGTTTAGGGTGTAGGGTTTCGGGTGTAGGATCAGGACGGCAGCTGGATTTCGAATCAAGTGAAGCCGTAAGCTTGCTGCTCTTGCGGCCCACGCGACTGATAAGAAGCAGCCATGAGGTACAGCAGTTCCTTTGGATACCTTGGCTGTCTCCGCCCTACCGCAAACTGTCCCTAAACGTCCTGCATACATGCGCTCTTGAGTCTTGCACATTCCGATTCCTAAACCCTATCATGAAACCTTGAGATGGTCCCCTTCAAACGAATAGTCCTTGATAGGGATGCTTGTGCCCCCTATAAGAATCCCTATTAAGGACTGTTAGTAAGGGGGGAACATCCCACATGAAAGCCTAAACCCTAAACCCTAAACCCTGAACCCTGAACCCTGAACCCTGAATCCTGAACCCTAAACCCTAAACCCTAAATCCTAAACCCTAAACCCTAAACCCCATCCCTAAACCCGAAATGCCCAAAAGCTCCCGAGCCATAGGTGCTGCGTCTCGGCCGCGATCTCCAGAGGGATCTTCTCTTGCAAAAATTTGTCCTCAGCCCTAAACCCTAAACCCTAAACCCCAAACCCCAAACCCTAACCCCTAAACCCTAGACCCTGAACGCGCTGAGGGCTTTGAGGGGTTTCGGAGCTCATGCGGGGTGGGGGGGGGGGGGGGGGGTACGCCACATGTTGCCGACCCTTGGCGGGTACTTACGTGGGGAATTCTTGGGGCCCCAATAGCCACAAGTCGTAAGCAATAACCTATAAGTTGTAAGTTACAAGTTAAAAGTTTCAAGTTATGAGCTATGAGTTGCATAGTTACAAGTTTTTAGCTGAAAGTTACAAGTTACCCAAGTTTCAAGTTCTAAGCAAGAAGCAATGAGATATACGTCATAAGTTATCAGTTAAAAGTTTATCTAATCAAAGGAGTGAAAATGCAACTATATCTGCCAAGAACGCTTGCTGCAAGCACCCCAAACGGCCCTAAACCCTAACACCCTAACATCCCTGAAAGGCCTCCAGGCGCATCGCTACACAGCAACGCCACGTTGGGTGGAAACCCCCGTGGTCTCCGATTCATGAGGATGTTTGTCGAGTCATCAGGAAGGCATTAGGGTTTAGGGCTTAGGGTTTAGGGTTACCCTAACCATTGCCCCGCGCCCAGTTTTTTGCGGAAGGCCGGTTTGTGGACAACGCAGAATTTATGGACCACATACCATTCAATTCAGGATCATGTGGCTCCTAAACCCATAAACCCACCCTAAAGCCTAAACCCTAAACCCTAAACCCCAAACCCTAAACCAAAACCCTCAACCCTATGAACCCCAAACCCTAAACCCTAAACCCTACACCCTAAATCCTAAATCCTAAACCCCCCGAACCTAAGGACTCAGGCCCGCGCACATGGATAGGGGTCCTGCGCGCTGTAGGACCGGGCCTCTGTCATTCAGGAACCGTTGATTTCCGGAAGGTGCCCTAAACCCTAAACCCTAAACCCTAAGCCTAAACCTAAACCCTGAACGCTGCACCCTACAAACCCTGAAAACACTGCAAAAACGTACAAACCCTACGAACCCTAACCTTTTCATCGTCCCCCGAAGAACAGGTGCAACTTACTGGTTCTCAGTCGGTAATTGGCGAAGTAGATGCCCGTATACTTTCCAGATATGCATCGCTTTAAGGGATTCTGCAGGGCAGCTTATCTCCTTACTAAGACCCAGCAAAAAATATTCGAGGCTCCCAGTAACAACTACTTCTTTGTTTAAACAGATCCATTGAGGGGGTCCTAACCTTACAAAAGGCGAATTTTACTACTAGACCCAGGAGTAACCTAGGAACAAAAGGGGTACCCTTTTTGGTTTTAAGGGGATGATAAGGGAACCTCAACCCTTTAAAAAAAAGAAATAAGGGCCTACTCTGGGTCCTAGTTACCCGAACCCCTAAACCCTAAACCCTCTAAAAAGGAACTAAGTGTCTACTCCATGTCCTACACTACTACGTGTCCCGGGGGGGTTGGCCGGCACCCTTCTGACCAAGCCCTAGACTGTGTGCACTTACAGGAACTTAGCCACTAACTTCGCCGAAGTACTATAGGGGTCGGAAAAACATGTTTTTAACAAGTACGCCCTTATGGCCCCTTTGTAATTATACTACAGAACCCCCGAAACCCTATTCTAAATATTAAGGCCCCTAGAGTAGCCAGAATGAGAAAACCCGGTTTATGTACTGGATGAGTATATCCCTCTTCTGGAAAGTTTCTTCGTTTACGTACCTCAACAGCAACCCGGTAAACAGGACCATAGGTTTGGCTACCTGGGAGGTTCATGGGTACGTAGAGGTAGGGTTCGCCATCACAGGTTACAACCTCAGTTAGGATATCCATAACCTTCCTTACAACCCCAAACCCAAACCTTACTTCCAAGTACCCATGAGCCTTCAAGCAAGTAAGGTTTTCTGTTCCAAACAGCCCCGCAGGAGATGGCATTGCGATGCATTGCGCCAAGGCTTGGAGAAGCTGTGGCCATCGACATCCACCCGTTCCCTGTTGTGGAAGACGAATTTGCAGCCCAGGGCGTACTCCAGCTTGCTGCGGCCCTCCGGGAACGTAGCATCTTCTCCATGACCGAGGGAAGACGGGGACATACTTCCGAACCGCACAAAGGCCTAAATCCCTAAGCCCCCCTAAAGCCAGACCCTAAACCCCTAACCCCCCTCAACCCTAAAGCCGAAACCCAAAACCCAAAAAATGCACCTTGAAGCACCATATCTGGGTTTAGGGTCTAATTGGGGTTTGAGGATGTGTAAGGCCAGGCGCGGTACCTTTTCCAAGGCTCCTACAGGGTGTAGGCTTTAGGGTATAGGGTATAGGGTTTAGGGTTTAGGGCTTAGGGTTTAGGGCTTAGGGCTTAAGGTTTAGGCTTCAGGGTCGCTCCCAAACCCCCACCCCTAACCCCACTCCAGTCGAGGCAGGTCACATCTAGGCTTGCCTTCCGATTCAGCAGCTCCATGACAACCTCCGCAAGCCCTACATCTGAAACCCTCAGCCCAAGCAACCTCGCCGACCTTTTGGGATCCCTTACTCTGGTTTAGGGTTTAGGGTTTAGGGTTTGGGGTTTGGGGTTTGGGGTTTAAAGTTTCGGGCTAGGTCCAAGAGTAACCTAGGTATAAAAAGGGTGCCCTTTCTGTTTTAACAGGGATTATAAGGCACCCTAAACCCTAAAAAAAAAGGAATAAGGGCCTACTCGGGGTACCAGTAGATACTTAGACACCCGAACAGCATATGTTCTATTGTAGTGTATGTAAGAAGTACTGCAATATAGTACATGGTATGTATTCTGCAATATGTTTGGCTATTACTTGTTTTTAATCCAAATGTATTAGTACATAATTGCAATTTATACAAAATAAGATAAACAAGTACATCTGAAGTAGAGTATACATTTCTTGTACCCCCAAAAGGACACCCAATACATACACTCACCAATATTGACAAGGAACCTTATATGCACTCACCAATACCAGTAAGATAAACCCTGTTTCATATGTGTATGTATATGTATATATGTAATGTTGACTTCACATTAATGATTCCCGCTACAATTGTAAAATCCAGCTGCCGGAACACAATATTGTAACCCGCCACAATTGTAAAATCCAACCCGGAATATTTGTTTTTTACGGGCGTGGTGCTACTACCTAATACTAAAACTAATAGTACGTCCTACCAGGATTTAGGCGAACATTATTGAGGAGGCCCTGGCCGGAGAGATTGATCAATGAAGGGGGGGGGGTTATTAATGCGAAGTCAACATTATATATGTATCATCTGCACCTTTGCTTTTGAGGCAAGGACCGGTGGAGACTGGTTTAGGGTTTAGGGTTTAGGGCTTAGGGTTTAGGGTTTAGGGCCGCTTCGGGCTTGGGTCATTCCCACGGGGTGAGGGCATGTTTGGTTTCGATACGAGTAGGGCAAGGAGCCCTAAATTTAAACCTAAACCCTAAACCCTGAACCCTAAACCCTAAAACCCCTTACTTCGGCTACTTCTACTCTACGTATAACACCCATGACAATGACCCTCCAAGTAGACCCTAAAACCCTAAAAACCCCTAGAACCCTCAAACCCTCAAACCCTTGGGTGTGTATGGCTAGTAGAAGGCTTAGGGTATGAAGGGGCCGTCCCTACCTCGGCTTCGGATACCCATGCGAACTTCACGTGCCTTGCGAGATCCAAAATGCCCCTTACCCGAAACCCTGAACCCTAAACTCTATACACAACACCCTGAACTCTAAACCCTAAACCCTAAACCCTGAGCAGCTTTGGCGCACCTCTTCTACCGCCTCATTCCTGAGGCCGTCGCGCCCTCGCCCAATTTCAGTTTAGGGTTCTTTTCGGCTGAAAGGTTTGGGAAGCACTGCTTTTGTTGTGTATGAGTAGAAACCCCAAACCCTAACCTGTAGACTTACAGGGTATAGTTGGGTTTAGCGTTTAGGAGATAGGTCTATAAAGTGCAGGGGCCTGGGGAGTTGGACGCGATTTAAGTTTAGGGTATAGGGGGAGCCAGGTGCAATCCCTCAGACCATGGGTAGAGGCCACTTGGTGCTTCAAGGAAGTTTGAATAAGGGCTCCGGGGGTCTAGGAGTTGAACTTGTGGGGGTGGGGGAGGGGGGGGAGGGTGCAGTCGCAGGGGGAGGCTTGACGGGATTTGGGGCGAGGGATTAGAGGGGAACTTTCATGAACCCAAGTCTTCACAACTTCAGAACATCACCACGTAAGCACGCCTTAGCATTGCAATTACCTAGCACCCCTGAAGCCGAAATCTGAACCCCAAACCCCAAACCCCAAACCCCAAACGTCAAACCCCAAACCCCAAAACCCAAAACCCCAAACCCCAAACCCTACCCCTTACCCTACTAAGACCTGAGCCTTCCACCCCACCCCCTAAAGGCCCCCCCAACCCGCAAACTGAAAGAAGAGCGCCTGCCACCAGCGCGATGAAATGCAGAGGAGTATTGCCGTCCTGGAATCCCGGATAGGGTTTAGGGTTTAGGGTTTAGGGTTTAGGGTTTAGGGTTTAGGGTTTAGGGTTTAGGGTTTAGGGTTTAGGGTTTAGGGTTTAGGGTTTAGGGTTTAGGGTTTAGGGTTTAGGGTTTAGGGTTGGGAACTTAGGGTTGATAGGGGTTGGGGAGCCACAAAAACCAGAATCCCCGAACTCTACTTGGAGGTTCATGGGTACTTATAAGCGGGTTAGAAGTGGGGGTACTTTTAACTGGGTTTACGGTTCTAGGGTTTAGGTTTTAGGGATAGGGTTTAGGTTTTAGGGTTAGGGTTTAGGGTTTTGGGGAACTATGGTTCTAACCTTGATTGGGGTAATTACTTATGAGCCTACTTGCAAGTACCCATGAACCTTCAAGTACACCCCCAAACCCCAACCCCCCATAGTCATTTTCCATATACAAGCTGGAGCTATACGCATGGATGGTTTGAGGGCTTTGGTAACTGCCTAAACCCTCCATTCAAACCGTGCACCCACGACAGAGCCCACGACAACAACAAACCTACGTTGAGGTTTATCAGCGGGCACCCTAAACCCTAAACTCTAAACCCTAAACCCTAAACCCTCCAGGGATTCTCTGAAAAAAACTAGGGTTGGGATACTCTGGGGTTGGGCACTCCAGTTACCCTCTGGGGCTACTCCAGGTTTGGGCGCTTTCTGCTGGTACGATGGGGTGGGATACGGGAGACGGGCGAGGAGTAGGCCCCGCGAGGAGAAGAGTTTGGTTTAAATCTAACAACCCCAACCCGAGGGTGGGGAGGGCTCAGGGTTCAGGGTTCCCTGAAGCCCAAAGGTCTGTCTGGGGAACCCTGAACCTGGCGCTGGTTCAGAGTTTAGGGTTTAGAGTTGTAAGGTTCAAGGTCTAGAGTTTACGGTTTCCAGGTTCAGGGTTTAGGGTTCCGTATTTAAAAAAAAAACAGATCCCTGAACCCCAAGGCCTTTGTTTAGGAGGGGCTTTGGCCAAAACCTGCAGCACGGTGCAATAGGCCGCCCTGTAACCTGGGGGGTACCTTGGGTACAGTTTCTCACATGATTAGGGTTTAGGGTTTAGGGTTTAGGGCCTGGGGTTTAGGGTTTAGGGTTTATAGGGTTTAGGGTTTAGGGCGCAAGGTTGAAGATTGACCCAAAGAATGGAAACAAGGTGTTGGGCAACACCCCTTTAGGGTTCAAGTTTTTAAGGCCAAACCCTAAGCGGAAATATCACATATCCCGAGGCCCGAATGTAGGGGCCTTAATAATTAGAACAGGGTTTTAGGGGATTATTCTGGAAAAACTTCAAAGGGACCCTGAGGGAATCCCGTGCGTAATTATTCCGACCCCTGAACCCTAAACCCTAAACCCGGAAATCAGAAATTCTTCCGACCCCTATCTTGCCTACTTCGAGAGCAGTCCTTGTTGACGGCATCTGCCGCAGCCTGGTGGTCCAAGAGCCAGAGGACCTCGACGTGGGTTTAGGGTTTGGGGTTTAGGGTTTAGAGTTTAGGGTCTGGGGTTTAGGGTTTAGGGTTTGGGGTTTGGGGTTTAGGGTTTGGGG